TATGTGTGTGTGTGTATATATATATATATATATATATATATATATATATATATATATATATTCATGCCATTATGCAGATAGTACTGTCTTGCTGTATCACAGCACCTCAGTACGACGAGATATCCGAATGTTTCAAGCCAGGATCGAAACACTACTGACTTGGTGTCAGTCAGAGCTCCTTCCACTGAGCTATCTTCATTCGGCAGAATAAAGCAGCTAAACCTAGCGTATTGTTTTGACGATATATATATATATATATATATATATATATATATATATATATATATATATATATATATATATATATATATATATATATATATATATATATATATATATATATATACTGACTCTCCCGTCGGTTTCGACGTATGAGTGTCAAGCATGAGTGTTCCAGACACCCCCCCCCGCACAAATCATTTGATTATATTGGTGAAGGTTTTGTCCAGAACAATCCACACTTTTTGAAGGGCCGAAGACAGAGACCTGGTACACCGTGTGCACAAGGTCCCCAAACGACCCTCCTCAGTTTTGAATTCAGAGTTGTCCTTCACCTAGTCCAGTTGCCATCCAAGGCTATAGAAGTCAGTCTGTCCTGCTATTCACTCCCTAGTTGTGGGGTGAACACACACACACACACACACACACACACACATATATATATATATATATATATATATATATATATATATATATATATATATATAAAACAAGTTTCATAAAAAAAACGGACGACAAGGTACAGTTGATGAAGCTTTTATTTAACTTTCCTTGTACACTATTTACACTATTCGGACTATTGTCCTCATCTTTGTCGCCATATTTATTACAACGTTGTGCGCTCCAGCCTACTTTAGGTGATTGGAATGTCGAATATATATATATATATATATATATATATATATATATATATATATCTTTCTCTTTCTTTCTCTCTCTATCTAAATAGAGAGAGAAAAGAAGATCTATCTATCTATCTATCTATCCCATATATATATATATATATATATATATATATATATATATATATAAAAAGTTGGTTAATAAAACAAGGGAAAATGAAAAGGTACTGATGTGATCAGTGTGAAAAGAATTTATTATATATTAATTATTAATCACAAGACAAAATGAAGCACGGAGATTAATGTTATTAGTCAGGAATTTTCGGGCACGCCTGTGTCCTTCATCAGCGATGCGAGAAATAAACAGAAAAACTAGGAAAGACTCACCAACGGCATTTTATTTTATTTTTATTTTTTTTTTTTGGTGGGGGGCTGTTGTGAACTTGTGGAGGGAATTATTAGTATAAATTCGATCACTGCTATAAATAATAACATTAATCTCCGTGCTATCTATTTTTAAATACTACAAGAAGCACCGTGGACTCTTCCTCTGAACATATATATATATATATATATATATATATATATATATATATATATATATATATATATATATAAAGAAAAAAGAACAGTAAATTATATAATTCGGTGTTCTTATTAATATTTTTATTTTACAAAAACAGTGCTCAATGTAAATTTATAGAGCATAAATATTATAAATAAACTGATTTAAAATATGGTTTCTTCGCTACACAGGAATTAGCATGTTTCAAAGACAGAAGATGAAAACTTCAAAGCATTAGTTCTGTTCCATCTTCATGCGAATTTTGGAATAACTTGTTTTTAAATTTACTGAGTTTTAACGCACATGCAATTCATAATTTTTGTTTCCAAGCTTACAGAGAAATCCAATCATTTAGACAGGGACGGTAGCGTGTTCAATATGTATACAAGTACGAATTTAACGGAAAAAAATACAGAAAAAAACTTTTTTTCGTTGATAAAAAAAAAAAAACAGACGACATGAGTTGAACGGTTGGCAAAATTCGTTGAAAAATCCACCCTAGACCTATCTAAACTTAACTTCTTTTTCGAACGTAACTCATAAGGAAAGTTGGCTCCCTGTGAAGCGCCAGGAAATTTTTCTCCCCGGAATCGATCCTCCAGATCTACAAATCAACAATTCGCCCTTACATGGAGTATTGCTGCCATATATGGTCTGGAGCCCTGCGGAACTCCCTTCCCTATTCCAGTTTCCCTGAGAGCTATAATCTCCAGCTATTCAAATGTAATGCCAATCGACATCTCCAGTTGCCTTGATCTATCCACTACCCTCATCCTTTCTTCTATCACTCCTATCTGATCTTTCTCCAAATTTTCTGTAACCCCTTGCGTCCTTGAGGCTTCCCGCCTTGCTTAAAAAAAATATCTATACAATAATAGTCAATAAAAATGGACACTCTACCGTCCCTATCTATTTCTCTCTCTCTCCATCTATCTATCTATCTATATATATATATATATACACACACATATATATATATATATATATATATATATATATAAACCTACGGCGCAATCTTAAAGCAATACCTACTAACTTACTGGTTTGGATCATGCGAATAGATGATGATGGTATGGTAGTAGAGATTGAACAATTCACTAATAACTCATACTTATTCATTTTTGTCTTGTTCCAGACAAGTGCTAACTGACAAACTGGCAAAATGCAGTCTCATACGACAATGCAACGCGTGTTCTGGAATTCATCCATGCAAGAAAATTTCCTTATGTCCCTGTATGTGTGTATGTGTGTGAGAGAAGGCACCATGGATTAGTGGATAGCGTTTCCGTTTGAGGAGTCGGAGATCCGAGTTCGAATTCCATTACATTCACTTACGTGCTAATACACTTGGGAAAGGTATGAATCCTCTTCTTCTTTTCCCTATCGCCCACTATGGGTAAATAGCAGGACAAACTTGGGTGACAACCGGTCTAGGAGAAAGTAACTGTGAATTGAAAACTCTATGTAACCCTGCCGTAGCATATATAATTCAGCTAAAGAAAGGATCGTTCATATTGACTCGATGATCCCGACAACGGTCGACAAATGATGATGTGTGTGTCTGAAATAGATATGGAAAAGTACATAAAGATTTTGGGCTCATGCCTTTTGTGTAATGGACATAAATAGTCTCAGCGGGAATTACAGTACTGCTTTTCAATTCTTGTTTTCGTTTGAAGACAAACACACACACATATACGTGTTTTTGTTTTTTGTTTTTTTTTTAGACGGAAAAGATGCGTGTGTGCGCGCGCACGGGCGTGAGTGTGTGCGTGCAGCCTTGCGAAATCGTGTGAGCACAAAGATCGGAAGCTTCCAAGCAGTTCCATCTTCCCAATTACACTAACAAGGTTGGGGTCAACCCGTGGTATGGTTTTAAGGTACTTCTCAAGTACGCCCGCTTGCTAGGGTCCCTAGGCGGATATTGTCAAGATGTCAACTCCTTGACAAATCAAATCCATGTTGCAATTTAAACCCAGTTATCTATTATTACAGGAAGCTAATGTTGTAAGCACTCAGTTGGTGTCCATTATATATATATATATATATATATATATATATATATATATATATATATATATAATAAAATGTCTTAAACACGAAGATTCCATATATATATATATATATATATATATCTGTGTGTGTGTGTGTGTGTGTGTGTGTGTGTGTGTGTGTGTGTGCGTGGGTTGAAATATACAAAAATCAAACGGTAGTGGATACATCAGTACGAAGCCTGTTACCAGCTCATTTACAAGGTTTGGGGCTGAAATTTCCTCTTATCATGGAGATACAATGTGCTTCATAAATATCTTTACAATTACAATTAGTTTTGTTCTACAAACTGTTTACAAATAAGTGATATATTTGTAAACAATCCAATTATACATTGCTTGGCTCTAGCTGTAGATTCGTAATTGCAGATTAATTTCAAAGGAAGACTCAATTTCAGTCAAACATCAAGTGCTCAAAATACAGTAAATGTTAGGATATAAAGATAGATTAGATTAGATTAGATAGATAGATAGTTAGATAGATAGATAGATTTAGTTGAACACCAGCGAAAGTTCCTTGTTAAGGATTCTTATTAATTTAATACTTTGGTTTTCTCGATTATTTTTTGAATTTGATTCATATATGAAAATATATTTTCCTATATCTGTGTACTTTGGACATGTTAACTATTAGCAAAAACTTTCGCTATTTGTTGCCAGTTTCGTTTTTAAATATCGTGTTTCGAATGTTCACTTTTAAATGTCGCGTTTCTTGCATTCACATGAAAGTGCGTGTCATTTTTTTTTTTTTTTTGGAATGGAACATGTTAGAGAGGTTTATTGTAATGTTTTTGATATTGGGTTTGCATTTAGCCCAAAAGTATAAACAAAAATCGCTGCCTAAAATACACCCCATCTATGCATACATATATATATATATATATATATATATATATATATATATATATATATGTCTATATATACATATATGCATAGATGGGGTGTATTTATATATTTTTTTGTTTATACTTGTATATATATATATATATATATATATATATATATATATATATATATATATATATATATATATATATATATATATATATATATATATATATATATATATATATATATATATATATATATATATATTTGTTTATATATATATATATATATATATATATATATATATATATATATATATATATATGTATATGTGTGTGATGTGGGTGTGGTTGTGAGAAGAGATTATTTTGTTTATGGTATATCAGCATATTTATTATAAATATTTTAAATGGTGTTCTGTCAGTGCAAATTGTAAACTTCTCAGTCATGTTTTATTCTGTTTCATCTTATACATACAGTGAGAGAGAATTTATATATATATATAAATATATAATATATATATATATATATATATATTTTTGCAATTCCCGTATTTTCGGATTTTATAGTAGGTTTCAATTACAAGGTCCATTTCTTAATTCGGGAGACAAAATTGAGGATAAAAATACCTTCCCAAAGATCATGTTTTATTAATGTTTCATCTTATACATACATACATACATATATATATATATATATATATATATATATATATATATATATATATATATATATATATATATATAGGTGAATGTATTTAACGTTATCGTTTAAATAGGTAATTTTCAGGAACCGACACCAGAACATACGATTTGATTATAGTGGTGAAGGTTTCTGCATGCAGGACCGTCCTATTTTTTGAAGGGACGATTACAGAGACCTGCATCGAGATGAAAAACGAATGAATGAACTAATGATAATTTAATTTTAATTACAAAATTAAATTCGGCATTTAGCCCGTAAAACTGGTGATTCATTTTGAAACATGGTTTAGAACTCTGTAGCGAAAAAGAAAGCATTTTAAATCAATTAATTTATAATTTTTAATGCTCTGTAAATTTACATTGAGCCCTATTTTGCAAAAAATAAAATATCTATAAGAACACCGGATTATATATCTTACTGTTCTTTCTTTATATATATATATATATATATATATATATATATATATATATATATATATATATATATATATATATGTATATGTTATAGTGATATGTATCTATCTATTTGTAGTACTTGTATTAATTTAGATAATTGTGTGTGCAGAACAGAGATTCAAGAGGGAGAGATGCAGTCATAAAAATGTTGACACGTATTAATAGAAAAATATTTTGTGTCAGTTTTAAAGTTTGGTAAAGAATTATTTTTTTTCGTGAACAGCTTTCTAATAAGTTGTCGATATTTTTTAACTTCATGTCTCTCACTCACTCGCCATATATATAGATAGGGCATCTTGAGGTGATGTAATGGTTAAGCAAGCTTGTCTTGCTAGAACAATTACAACTGAGTAGTGAGTTCGATCCTCACTGGGTTCTGCATACTTTCGGCCCTGTGCCACATCTGAGCTACGCTTGGAAAATCATTATATATATATATATATATATATAGTTATAGTTATAGTTAGATAGACATGCATGGGTGTATGTGAAGTGTTTTTTGCATGTGTGCATGCTTGCGTATTTTTGACATTTCGTCTCCTACACTTAGCTTTTCTGTGAGGGTATGTGAATATGCATATGAACGTGCGTGTCTACGTGCATTTTAAGCACTTGCACGCGCGTGTATGTGGGTGTGTGCATGCTTGTGCTTGTCTGTCGCGCGATATAATATGCTACCATTAATTATATATTATTGGTCAGTCTGATTGAGAAAACTCGTTCGTACCCCAGAGGTCGATCTTGAAGGGAAAGAAATGCAGGATCATCTCCCTGCCCCTACCTGTCTCTCAATCACTCTCTCTCCCCGCGTTCGCGTTTTAACACACACACACACACATACACGCAAACACACACACACATATATATATATATATGATCAGTCTTCAGTGCCGATCATCATACTGAGTTTTTGACAAGACCAATGTCAGCGTAACACTTCCTATATTCTTGCATTATATATAAATACATATCGTAAAATAAGTATAATTTTACAAATATACATGCGTGTGTGTGTGTGATTATTAATACTTTCCCTGAGTCTATAACGCATCAATGAATATGTAGCCTATGTCACAACCGGTCGACTGAAGGTTTCCTCTCTTGCTGTCGACTTCTTTCTCTCGCACACCCCTTACACGTCGAGTCAGAATTTTTCTCCCTACGCAATCCCAATTTGAGTCGCTACTGGCTGGTTTGTTCAGAATCATACATATCACGAAGAAAAGCATGCAACTTGCCCTTATCTATGTGTGTGTGTGTGTGTGTGTGTGTGTGTGTGTGTGTGTGTGTGTGTGTGCGGATTTATGGGCTAATGTGTAAACGTAAATACACATGTTTAATATTTATGTAGCAATGTGCATATTCATGATTTAACGTTTACATACAAGGAGGACATGTATTCCTATTTTTTTCTGAAATAAAAAAAATATATATTTATTAGTAAGTTAGGAGATGTAAATACGATGTATAGATATATCCAATGTGGTAATGTGTGGTTCTACACCACTGACTCTCTCTCTCTCTCTCTCTCTCTCTCTCTCTCGGTTACATTCGCTCTCTCTATCTCTTTACCACTCTGTCTTCCTACATATATATTTATATAATATATAAATGCATGTATACACCCCATATATGTGAGTCGTATGTGTGCGTTGTGTGTTTATACACACACACACACACACATATAATATATATATATATATATATATATATATATATATATATATATATATAGACTAGGTGTGTTGGAAAATACTTAGCCCGGCATACTTTCGAAAATCTGAAGAAGAAAAAGAAACGCCTTGACATCAAAATTTATTTTGGTATCACTTCTTGGTTAGTTGAGAACTTTTCAACAATCCATCTAACACACACACACACACACACACACACACACACACACACATATATATATATGTCTATGTGTGTGTGTGTGTGCTACATATGCGCAAGTGAGCATCTCTACAGATATACACGTATATCAGCAAATATTTGTTATATTGCCCTGTAGGTACATAAAAAGCTTAGGTTTGTTCAAAATCAAATGGGAAGAG